CCTATACAATCTTTACATCCCCTAGTTGATCATTCCCCTTTCAAACACGCACATTGAAAAGGAAAAAGTGGAAAAATATTTATTCCCCCAAAACAACAAAACAAAAGGAGTTGGCACCACCTTGCAAATAAGTTTAGACGATGAGATGGATTCCCACACCCCCACCACCTTCCTTATCTACTTTTATTATTGCCTTGCTTCCATCATTTTTTTTCACTTTAACCATCTCTAAAGAGAACAAAAGTAAACCAAAATAGGAAGCAATGGAATATTACATCCAACAACAAGGAAATACAAGATATATATGATCACCTAAATTCATCATTTGTCCTATCAAATGTTTTATCCATTATTATAATTATAAAGTAGTGAATAATAATGAGCTAAAACTAATAAATCATAAAATGTTGTAGTTAGTTGAATCTTAATTTGATTAATATGATTGTTACTACAATATATGATTGTCATTGTTAAATGGAATTATAGTTTTTGTCTGAGTTAATTATATCATATATCTTCAAATTATTGTTATCATTATAAATAAATCTTTAAATTTTAATATATTTAATTTTTATCTCAAAATTATGACTCTTATTTTAAATTAGTATTTAAACTTTTGAATATTCAAATTTCATCCCTAAACTATAACTCTCATCTTGAATTGGTCCTCGAACTTTTGAATCTTTCAATTTCATCCAAATATGTAATTAGTTTCAATCCTATTTTACCTATTTTTTAAGCATATAATAATATAGTTGGGATGAAACTGAAATGTTCAAAAGTTTAGGGATAAATTTAGAATAAAATACATAATTTGAATATAAAATTAAAATATTTAAAAGTTTAAGGTTTGATTTAAAATAAAATTCATAATTTAGAGATGAAATACAAATATTCAAAAATTTAAAAACTTAATTAAGTTAAAAAAAATTAAGAAATTTGGATGCTACTAACTGTTTTTACCTTAAAAAAATTAAATCGGAAGTATTTGCATTACCTGAAAATAAGTGCCAAAGTTGATGGAATATTGAATTTCCTAGGCAGCTAAAACTATAGAATGCAGAATTCCTAGAAAGTTTGAATGGGATTCCTAGAAATCCAAGATTTTCACTTTTAAAAGTAGGGTTTGTAGGGTTGTAGCAACAAAAAAGCTTCACTAGGCAGCCACTAGTTACTAGTTTACTTTCTTTTTTATATCTTCAAAGGTAGGTTTTATATGCCAACCAATGTGGGATTAGATCCCCATGATGATTCAGAAAGCTCCTCCATGTGGAGAGGAAATAAAAAAAAAAGGTATCCCTTTCTGGGGCTTGCCTACTTTATAATGGTTTCTTTTGCTTTTAAAGCGGGTGGCTAAATAAGGCTATTAAATTAGACAAAAAAATCACAGATAAAGTGGTAATGCTTTTCTAGTAAGGCAGAAGAAAGGGCTACATGGGGTCCCTCCAAAAACCTTTATACGCTAATGTACATATTAAAATAAACAAACAAAACCAATAAACCCAATTCTAGTGAAATTAGGTTTGTCACTGCGACCAACATGATTTAACACCACCTTAGTATGCTCATATACATTAATAAACTTTTACCCTAATCAAAGATAAAAGTGGTCATCAACAAACAATATTTGGTTAGTTTTTCAAGTTGTTTATCTTTAATTTTTTATATTTATTTAGTCATGCGTATTCTAAACTCACTATGATCATTTCCTTTCTCTAGAGTCCCATTCCTTTTAAGTATGATTAAGATTAGATTTAAAACTTACAAAAAATAAAGAAAGAAAGATGAAAGTGGTGATACTATTGAAAATCTGTCTTCTTTAGTTTGAGTTATAGCTGCTCTTGAGTCCCCTTCCTTTTAATGTAATTGCTTAGGCCTCTCACATTAAAAAGAAAAAAAAAGGTGGTAATTGTCTTCACATGACAAATTTACTTGGCCAACCGATTAATTACCTACAATCATGTTGTTGATTAGTGCTAAACTTACTCTAAATTAATCAAAACTTTGGGTTTTCACACAAACATGAGAATCCAAGAGAAATCGTGCACCTGATTAGTGCTAAACTTACTCTAAATTAATCAAAACTATGGGTTTTCTCACAAACATGAGAATCCAAGAGAAATCGTGCACCTGATTAGTGCTAAACTTACTCTAAATTAATCAAAACTTTGGGTTTTCTCACAAACATGAGAATCCAAGAGAAATCATGCACCTTAAGATGTAATTGATTAAGTTGTATTTTGACCTACTCTTTTGGTTACCCTCCTTTGATGAGTTTTATGTGTCAAAAAGGTATTAAAAGTTTTGGTTTCCAAGAAACAAAGGAAGCCCATTTGTGGGAAAATTTGTTAGATGGATCCAGCTCATCACGTCATCTATGGTCTTAGCTAATAATATTTGTTCATCTCATTTTTATCCAACGTGAATCTTCACCTATTTCTTACATGTAAATTAGCACTGGGAAGTTATTTAGAAACATTTTAATATTTCTTAATCTCATTCACGAGGATCATGGATGACGTGGTGAGCTAGATCCATCAAATAATTTCTCTATTTGTGGGGACAATCTTCTTTTTGGATATTGATGCAATTTGTGACAGTGAGTTTTGGCAACATTGTATGCTTTATTTTTATTTTTTTATTAATTTGAATTAAGCATAAAGTATCATATGTTCAAAGATAACTCTTAATCATTTGACATTAAATGCTCATATCCCTAATATTTTTAGTGCTCGAACCTGAAACCTCAAGAAATAACGTTACCTAGTATTTTTAGTACTCGAACCTGAAACTTCAAGAAATAGCGTTAATTCCTCTACCGCTGAGGTCGCTTTGTTTGTGCATGTTACGCTTTCCTTTGAATTAACAATGTTAACGAAAATCTTTAAACTATTAGGGTAAATTGTAATGATGGATATCAAGTTTTTAGAGAATTTATATTAAAGTCATTGAATTTTAACTAATTTGACACCTATATTTATTAAATATTACACACTTTATACACTTATGTATTAAATCAACGTCAAAGTTTAAAAGTATAATATGGATTCAATATTAAATAAGTATTCAACATAATTAATTTTATGTGATATTTGTTAAATATAAGTATTAATTATATTATGTTTGATAAATGTATATATTAAATTTGTTCAAAGAAAAATACAGGTACACATTAACAAAAATAAAAGTTCAAATATCAAATTAGTTAAAAACTCATATATATCAAAATTTAGCTGTCAATATATATATATATATATATATATATATATATATATATATATATATATTGCAAGCGGTTGATATTTCTAAATATTTTAATTTTATGCTCATTCAAACCAAAATCTAGAATTGTGACCAAAGTAAAATTTTCTCAACGCAAAACCATTCGATCCCACAGGTTCAACATATATAATAAATGGTCTATTTACTAAACAATGCTCTCCATTCATAATGATTTCATATTAGTCCTTCAGTCACCAATTTTAACAAATAAGTAATAATTTATATTTTATCCTCGTATACATGAAAATTACAAAATAATAATAGTTTGACACATGTACTATCAAAATCCACTAAACTTACAAATTAGGGATAATAGCCAATTAGCCATGCGGACTTCAATACTTTACAAATCTTACAATGCAGTCCATAAACAACCCATAATTTAGTAAAAAATATCTTCAAAATAATTTCATTAATTTTATTAAATTTGAATCATATAATTGATTGAAAAAATATCAAAGTATGTTGAAAAACGAAAAACAATTTTTTTTATCAAACAAACCATTATTGTATTAAGATTTGAGTTGTATTTTTCTCTTTTATCACTAGCTACTTCTAGGGGTAGCAATCGGGTGGGGGAAAACCGAAAATCGTGGGGATCTGAACCGACTGGATGGAGAATAATTGAAATATTCACCTGCGGGAATGGAGATGGGGAAGTTTTATCCTCGAAGCTCAAATGGGGATGGGGACGGGAATTTCTATATCCGAACCGCGAGGATAACAAAACCGTATCAGTGTGAATAACCGTTGGGATCCCAAAAAATTATCTTTAGGGATCCTTGATATTTTACAAAATTTTAAAAATATATTTATAATCATTTACCTATATATCCTTAATATATTTTTAATAAAAAAATTTATATATGATTAGATTGTAAGATTACGTGTTGCCACTGTTACATATTAAATGAACTAAAATTGAAGTTTAGATTTTTTCTCATTTAATATACATTGATTTGTTGAGATTGCTAATAATTAAGATTATACATATACATGGGACGGATTAGGTAATGCAAAACCGTCTTGGCACTGACCCGTTGCCACCCCTAGCTGCTTCACATCTCTACTCAAATTGAACCGCCATGATTTATATATACCAAAAATAGTTGTGAATTGGTTTGAAAAACACATGACTTCGCCTTTCTTCAATTAATAGTTTATTTATGATAAATATAATTATTTATTTTTTAAATATTAATTAATAATTAAAATTAAATTCTTAAGATAAATTATACAGACAGAACATAAACACGGAATGAAGGGAACAATACAAACATGCCATTGCATACATAAAATAAATATAGGTTTTTTTTAATCAGTAACTATTTCACAGATACATATTATGGGACGACCCTATAAATCTAATTTCTTTTATTCCTAATCGTCATGATTCAAATTTCTAATTTTGTTTAAGAAATCTAGTGTCTCGTATACTAAATTAATTAATTATTTGTTAGAATAAATATAATATTTTAATACAAGTAAAAGATAACACAATTAAAAACACTATATAAATATAAAACTTTCAATTTTTATAGGGTTTAAATATAGTTTTACTTGTTATATCCTAATACAAAGAGGAAAATACCAATCCAGGCCTGCTCCAAATGTATTTAAACATATGGCCCAAATACATAAGCCGAAACCTATTAAATATATTTTACAAAATAAAAAATAAAAAACCTTAGGGTTTTAGTCTTGCTTTCAATTTAGCCATGACGAAGCCAAAATCCAGGAGAAAATCAAATACCCAACAGGAAGAAGCAACAAATCCAAGCGAATTCTCCTTCAACATTACTAGAGTAGCCGTGGCTCAGATCTGCAAATCGGTCGGGTTTCGGCGTAGCCAGGTGACGACGCTCAACACCCTAACCCTGGTAGCCACCAAATACCTGGAAACCCTAGCCAGGTCTGCCGCATCGTTCTCGAACGCCGCCAATCGCGGCCAATCGAACCTCCTGGATATCACCAACGCCCTCCACGACGCGTCCCTGCAATTGGGTTTCAACGGTGCGGCCACACTGTACGGCGACGATTGCTTGTTGAAGTCGGCGGTGTTGGAAGATCTGTGTACTTTTGTCAACTCCACGGATGAAATACCTTTCGCCAAGCCCATTGAGAGACCGAAGGAAAGAGAAACGGGAGATTCAGAATCTTCACCGGAGAATTTACAGAGAGGTGGACATGTTCCCGAATGGTTACCGGGGTTCCCTGATGTAGGTAATTTAGAACAATGCGATAAAAGGGTCTGTAGGGAAATTCTGTGGGAATCGGTTCTGGGACATCAAAATGAAGGATTTGAAGAGAAGAGAGATGGTAAACATGGTGGGAAATTGTCAAAGGAGAGAACAAGAGTGAAATTCTGTATAAAGGGAGATAAAAGAATGCACACGAATGGTTTCAGTGTCAATAATTTGTTTACTCAAAGTATAGATGAAGAGGCAGAGACTGAGCATAAGTTAAAGATGAAACAGACTTTGGTGTATCAGAGGAAAAAGAAGCTATAGGTTGAGGCAGGAATTTAAATTGCGATGCCATCGGCGGTGGTACAATAACGATTTCGAACCATATCGTTATCGCCATTTAAATCCCTACGGTCTTTTTGTCTGGAAATATATACTTGTTGGCCCTGGGACTTGAACCCACGAACCCCTTTTGTACAAGTATTAAAAATTTTATTGCATCCACTAGGCCATTAAGTAGAGTAACGTTAAAATTTCAGAAAGTCTACTTATATTTTTTTTCATATCAAATGTCCAATGACTAAAGTAACATTTATGTATCAAAAAAAGTTGTAGTGAGAGAATTTTGAGCCAACTATGAAGCTTTTAAGGTAAGCGTTGCAAAAACAAATTTCATATAATGCAATAAGAACATATATGGTCTTTCACATTCAATAATAACTAGAACCAAACATCTGGTGATTGCTGTATCCTTTTCTGACGACGAAGTCCTTACAATATATAATTTTTATATTTTTGTCGCGGTATTATCATAAAAGCTCTGCTGAAAAAACTAATAACCCTATTCAAGAAGGCACTCATTTTCCACAGTGGAAGCCATGGCAAACAGAAAGGACAATGACCAGGATCAAGGCTATTAATATTCCTAGAACAATCAGCTTGATCTTCATGTTCTGTAACCACATTTTCCTCCGTATTTTGGTTCCGGTGTTCCGAAAGTCCTGAGCCTGCAAAGAATAATTATTTCAGAAAAAATAAACTAATGTTGTAACAACAGCGGAAACATGTTAAAACTACATCTCCTTGCAAGAGCTTTATCGGCAAAGGTCTGCTGCTGCCGTCTAGTACAGGGTTTAAAAAGCAGTGGCATAGCAGCGTCTTTTCAGTAGAAACAAAAGTTTGGAAGACCAATAGGCTACAAAAAGTGGTTTAACAAAAGTTTGGAACTTGAAACCTCAGGGACGCAGAATATAGAAACCACAACCTTTCTTTTAAAAGTTTCCAACACTCGGCAGCAGCATAATCTCACAAATCACAAGCACAATTTTTTTTCCAAAAAATCTTAACTCAAATTCAAAGGGTAAGTTGAATAATTATCTTTTTCATCTTCTTACTCCTGGTGTGGACTCAATCAGAGAGAGAAAATGCTACAGGCTTGAACTTAAAGCCAATAAGGGAGGGAGACTGGAGAGAGACCAAGATCAGAGAGCTTAAATCATGGCAGACTGTAAAAGCCAGCTAAATGTTGAAGCTTGAAAGCAGAGAAAACTCTGGGGAAGGAGCATGCTTGAGTGAATTGCCTGTCAGCTGTTACTATGAGTGGACTTGGTCACTAAAGTTGAAGACATGTGGCCTGATTGGAATGTAGCAAGAAAATATGATTGGATAAAAATAATATATATATATAGAATTGAGGGCATTTGGGAATTTGGGTAAAACTTGAATGATGGGATGGAGATTGTGTGGCAAGCAGTGCCAACTTAAGGGCGCAAGCTGAGTCCATTTTGAGTGACCAGACACTCTTATCTTTTTCTTATGTATAATGTAGGGAGTGTTTTAGGGAAAATTTTAGGAATGTTTTAGGAAAATGATTAAAAAGGGTTTCTAGAATTATAATTTTCATTGTTATATTTTACAATAAGTTGTGCAGATTTGAAATAAAATAAAATTCATGACTGTGATCACCTCCAGGACCACATTACCATCAGTTGAATCTGCTATCATGATAAACATGATCCGGCCAAAACACGACATGACCAAATTCAAACCCCTTCTTTAGAATGTAAAACTAACATCTAATGCTACTGAAATGGATGTCTCTTTTCTTATACTTCTATTATGCCTCATGTTTTTATTTGGCAAAATAACAAACTTATACAGAGTACTCCAAACCAAATTTCAACTCTTAACATGTTATCAACATAAACAAAAAACTTAGTTGATGCTATTGCATGCTTAACTTTGCATTGATATCTGATTGATGCATGGAGGAGAGAGAGAAAGGGAGAGAAACTGACCTGGTGATGAAGATTCTCAGTCTTATCCACTAGCAGCTCTATCTTTTCCCCTCTATCTAACACCTATAAGAACGAAATTCAGTAAAAATTACCAAAAGCGAGTGTCAAGTAAGTTGGTTGATTACCAAAAATTTTATTATAATTTAATATGGGAAAACTGCAAGTATTGGCATTTGGAGAAAATCACAAATAATTGAAGCTGCTAGAAAAAAAACGATCCCACATCAATTACATATAGTCACATAAGATTTAAGAGAGGAAGTATCATAGAATTATCAATGTGAGTAAGCTGTATGTCACTATGACTATGCAGTCAAAGAGAAGCCTAAAAATAAACGAAAGGTAAACCATAAACCTATGTAAAAACAGAGCACCAAAACCCATATCATCTACTCTAGACTCTAGAGCCATTCCCCCCATCTACAAAAGGCTAGAAGAACAATAGGGGCAAGCATAACCATGGTGCATCTAATAAAGCATATCTACCTTTTCAATATTCTCCATCATAACACCTTTGACTTCTGAAACCTGAGCTTTAACCTTAGCAAGCTTGCTTATTTCTTCAGGATGCTCAACGCAGTACTGCATATGTTCTTTTAGCTTCGGCCTGCAATTAAAGGCATGTAATATTATACTCTTCACAAGAAGATAAATTATCTCCATTAAGTAATTCAAGATCTTAGAGGCAGATACCCAAACTCCTTGTTCAGGCTGTTGGCAGGAGCTGTGGCAGCCTTTCCACTGCCATATTTTGACAAAAAATCATCCTTAATACGCTCTAAAAAGGCAACAGGCACTTGCCTTCCAGCAGACTCGTCGGCAACAACACAATATGCTGCAACATTGAAAAGTCAGCCAATCTACCAAGATCATTGAATAAAGAAAGCTGTCAACAAGAATGCAAATAATAGCACAAAAAGGTTCTTCCAACAACTCCTGAAGTCTATTAGACTTCATCAAAGCAGAATGCACAAACACTAAAATTAGCTGATTGTTAAATAGATTTCTAATGATATCTTCTCTACCCCCAGACAGGCCACATGCAGTGAATCCTTCTTCTGGTTCAACATTAATGTGGAATGTGGATTACATAAGTGTACCGATAAACTTATATAAAGACAAGATGTATTCCAATCATGTTTATGAGAAATTGAACATCAAAAGACCAAACCACTCAAGACACAATACACTTGCACACGGGCGCCATCAACAACCAGCATATTGAACAAATCCAGTATACCGCAAAAGAATAAACCAAAAGATCTCCATAATAAAGCATCGTGCACACCGCAATCGATTTAAGTTCGCACGCTATAACGCATAACAACTAGAGATAAATTCAATTAATCTAAAACTAAACAAGAAACACAGTTTCTACTTCTTTTTCATTTCTAACAAGTAATATTCTTAAACTTTCTCGCTAGATCTCAAATCTAACATTTTCCGACGATCAAACTCATTTGCTAAAGACGGGAACCATAAAAATCAAGGAACCCACGGCTTAAATTTCTAGAAAAAGAAGAAGAGGAACATAACTGTAGCCATTGTCAACAAGGTAATTGAAGGTGTGGCCATCACAGTTGTAAGTGAACTTGTTGTTGGAAGAAGGAAGCTTTTGAAGGCATTGGAAAGCTATGGAATTGAAATTCCCAGAGAAATCGGTGTACTCTGCTAAAATAACTTCCCCGCGAGATACAAATGCATAAATCAACGCCTTCTGCACCATTTTCTCAGATTTCTTTTGCTATGAGATCTCAGGGTTCAGAGAGAAAACAAGGAGAGATTTAAGATTTGGGATTTTGGAATCCCGCTTTCTCTTTCTCTCTCTCTTTATGATGCTTCCCTCTAGTAGCACTCTTCTGCTGGCATTTTGAATACGTATAGATCAGAAAAAGGGAAAGTAAAAATGGTTTAATGAGGAAGCAACGATTCAAAACCTTTTCCAATAATCTAATAATCCACTATCATCTTTCATTTTAATTGAAGAGTTAAAGTAATTTTCATTATTATTTTGGCAGCAAAAGTACATAAAATTAATGTTGAAGGATTTTAATATTTCACCTAAACTAAACCCTTTTATTTTTATTTTTTTATCAATCTAGGGTAGCTTAAGATACTATCTATTTAAAGATAATTCTCGACCTATTAATATTGAACGCTCACACACCTTATATTCATAGTGCTCGAACTCGAATCTTAAAAAAATAAAAACAATTTTTTTAATAAGAGAAATCACTCAATTCACTCTCCTTTTATTTTCTTTTAAATTAAGTTAAGAATAAACTGATTATTTAAATTATTTTTATTTTTAACATTAAACTTTAAAGAAATAAAACAGTCATTATTATTATCATTTTATATTTTAAAATATTAAAATTATTATTAATATTATCGTTTATGTTAATAAAATTCAAAAATTTATCAAAAAAACTTCAAAAATTTATTATTCGACTAAGATTAAAAATCTCATACAAATTAAATATCTCAAAATTATTCAATCAATAGAAAGTTAATCTTGTGCAATACTCCTTGTTCACTCTATTTATCTCATTAAACTTGCCGTTTTGATGTTTTTTTTTATAATTTTAACTTTGTATTATTTAATATTTATTATTAATAGAAAATAAAGAAATATATATTTTAAAAATTCTTGAATCAGTGGGTGAGTAGATGGTGATGGACAATGAAAACCGAAAGAATGGAAAGTGGGCATAGATAGGGCGAGAAATTAAGTTTCGGAGGGGGAAACAGTAAAACAAAAACAACACCGTTTGTGGGAATCGAACCCACGACCACGTGGTTAAAAGCCACGCGCTCTACCGGCTGAGCTAAGACGGCAACGATGACAATTTTCTAATTTATTTGATGATAACATTTATTATTATCGTGACAAAAAGGTCCCTAATTCGTTGGTCAGAAGCAAGGGAAAAAACTGGGTGCTGTGATTGCTGAGGACTGAGAAATTAGAGAAAAGCCTAAATTTCGAGGTGTGGATATAATTAGGATTAGGGTTTTGAATTGAGAAGGGGGAAATGGCGGAAAATAGGGGAACAACAGGAAAGATAAACCTAAGCCAGAATGTTAAAGAGGAGACAATAAATCTAAGTGGGCAGATCCATCATCTTCCATGCTGCATCAAATTCAATGACCCTTGCTTTGTTTCTCAATACTTCAAACCCAAACTCAAAGGTAATACCATTTTTCTTATTTTTTAATGATTAAAACTTATGCTAATGTAAAGATTGATTCTTTTTTTTTTGTAAGTAGGGATGGGGATTGATGGGTTAACAGTAGAGGAAGCACATTTTAGAGGAAGGAAGCTTCAAGGAACTACTATTTCTCTTCCGAATGGATATTCTGGTAGTTTTTTCCCTTTCTTTCTGGGTTTTGTGTATGTTTAATTTTGTTGATGTTGTGGACTGAAATTCTGAGTTGCAGTTGTATTGTATGCTGGAACTATGAACATTTTGTTCTTAACAATGTTTCTAGCCCTCTGAATTTTAGGAAAATCTATATGGTTGTCAGTTTACAGGGAAAATATCATGTAAAAACCAATGACCGAGGTCTTGCATGATATACGTTTATTGGATTTTAGGAAGTTCCATTGATCTTGCAGGAGGCTTCATGCTCTAAATATAACAGTATTAAGAGATTTGATATACTCGTAGTCCGTATGCTGTTTCTTGTTTTCTTCTTAATTGTCCCTTTTCAAAATTTTCATCTTTCTTTTTAGGTTTGCACAATTGGGTTCATAGTTCTTCCCGGCGACTTTTCATGCCTTTAACTAGATGGACTTATCATATCTAGGAGGCTCGTGCGGTGTCTGTTTACTGAAGTTATTATAAATTTAATCCTGTCATATTTGTTTCTTTTGTTTGCTTTTATGTAAATTCGTCTGTGTTTCAATAGATTTCAAGTGGTTTACTATTCCTGGTTGCTCTGGCAGGCTTTCTTCTTACGAAGAAAACGTCAGGCAAGAGGAAAGCTTGTGATGTATCTGAAGGGAACTCAAACAATTGGGAAATGAAAGCCAAATTTGATGAACTAACATATTGGAATCACGATAGCCTTCCATCAAAAGATGATCCCTTCCTGCGTTCTTTTCATTGGTTTGCTGTTGCAGAAGCTGTAAGTTAATCCATCATACGATGCCTAAAGGCACGGAAATATTCTTCAATTCCGATTATTTTGGACCTAGTTCTTGATGTTACATTCAATGGCTTATAGTCATCAGACAAAGGCAAGCCTATGTATTTAAGTCTATAATGAGGCAGGAGCTTATACTAGCGGCTTCCCTTTAACCCCCAAGTTTTTATTGAGTTCCATCTTCTTTCCTACTCGTTTGTTCAGCCTAGTTCTTTTGATTACTACTGTGGTTTTTCCATTCAAAATCATTCCCGTTCTTGATTAAGTTGGCTATGATCTTGGATTGAGTTCGAGGTATTTATTTATGTTGTATCAAACCGTCCCAATGATATCATTATAAGAAATTGTGCTTATATTGCTAGGATCTCATTTTGTTAACAATAAGTGAATGCATAATTTCTTCCCATCTTACTATGAGAAGCATCTTTTGCAGCTGCACAAACCGGTAAAAGCTGAAGACTTGGCTGATGTTGATGCTGCTCCGGGGAAAAACTAGTGGACTAATACTTGAAAGCTGGAGCATCTTCTGATATCCGGCCACTGCATTTATTTCTTGTACCGTTCGTAGTGGGGAAAGAATTGATAGGCTGAGTGAAAACATGGCGGATATCCTATAATCTTCATCTATGATTTACTGAACTCCTCGTTCGTAGAGTAAGACTTATCAAGAATCTCTTTGAAGAAGAGCACAGACTAGGAAAAGTGCTTAATTCAATGATCAATCAGACTATTCTCTTTGAATATGTTAGTCTGATATGAGTTGTATAGTCATCTTGTCTTTTGCATTGTTGTCTGTGTACCGTATCAGCTCATTCAGTCCAAGAATTTCGCACGCATGAACCAAACATGTTTGGTTACCGGGAAAATAAATTGAAATGTCTTTTAAAAGTTACCTTCCAGTCACTTTGTTATTGATTTATATTTTGGCCACATTATCGATTGTTACATTTCGGTCATTGAAATATTCAACTCCTGATATTTTGATGACGTGACATGTTAGTAAAGATGATTAATTTTTACTTTGACTCCTAAATTTTAGATTATTTAACCCTAAATTTTGGACAAAATAATAATTTGATCCTTGAATTCGATCAAAGTTTTCTACCATTATAATATGTTTCCATATCCATCGACGTACTCTTTTTTCCATTCTTTTTATATTAAAATAAAGTTTGAATATTAAAATAGGTATTGTTCATTGGATTAATTCAACTTTTTTAACTCAACACAAATTAACTTGATCAAATACTCACCCTTAATAATTCCACATATTTCATTTAATGACGTGTAATCTAAAATTTCATAAAACTAATGTTGAATGGAAGCTCATAATTCACATTTATCAAGGAGTAAAAAAGAGACTATTTCCCTATCAAAAACTATCCAAAGTGGCAAGTAATCAATCATCGCCTAGTCATTTGGTTAATGCATCTTAATCATTATCTAATTTATGTGGAATTGAATTAATCAAACATGTTTGCCATGCCCATCTTCATATTATCTATATAGACCATCATTAAGTCCTCAATAATGACTTTGATCAACATAGGGAACATATAAACATAATCAAATTTTGGATGGACCCTACCCTCAACCAGTTTTTAAATGAAGGAAAAAGTTTTTTTTATAGAAAACATTATTAATATTGTATTTATATCATCATTAAGTTCTCAATAATAACTTTGATCAACATGGGAAACATAGAAACATAATCACATTTCGGATGGACCCTTACCCTAAACCATTATTAAAATGGATATTTTTTTAAAAAAATTATTAATACTATTAACACCTAGTTAATTTAACGGAATAAGACATTAGATACCAAAATATTATTTGAAGTTTGGATATTAACATTGTAAATATAGTGAATTAGGTTCATAGAGTCATCCCATAATGTTTTACTATAATATTTGATATGAATTTGTCGATCAATAAATATGATACCAATAATTATACAAAAAAATCATTAAAATTTCCATTAACCCTGAGCTTTTTTCTTCAACAATAAGACAATATCTGGAGAATGGTTATAAAATTCAATCAAACAACTCGAGAAATAAAAGATACAAATAAACATACTATTGACCGTGAAATATAAATACCATTAACACTAACATAATAATAAAATATGAAAATACGTTACAAAGTAATTTTATCATAATTCAAGCACAACATGTTTAGGTGATTATGAGCATCTATCAATACGAGAGAGCCATCTCAAAGATCCAAACCTGAAGTATCAACAAGATAGTCAAATAATCATGAACTAGAGATACAACATCAAATTGAATCTTGAAAAAAAAAACTTACAAAAGGCAAGACCTTATCCCCATTTCAAATTTAGATCAAAAGAACAATTTTAAAAAATAAGAAAAAAATATAAAACTAAAATATAAAAATTATAAAATTGTAAATTATAAATATAGAAGTTTTAAAATTTAAAAGTATTTATAAAATATTAACAAATTTAAACATTTTCAAAGAATTTCAACTAATTAACAATGAATGTTCTTATAAAATCGGTATTCGAGTCAAAATCTATAGAAAAATAACAAATCCCTTAACCACTGATATCACTTGATTTATGCATTAGGAGAAACAATCTTATATTAGAGTAACAATAAAATTCAAATTCTCCCTTGATCTTCTACGCTAGATATTAATGAACACGGGGCAAGCTTAATAATTTTTTTTTATTTTTTACTTTTTGTTATATAAAATCTATGCAAAAATTAAATTACACATAATTTCTAATTTCTAATATTTTTAAATTTTTTTTAAAAATTATTTTTATATTATTTTTATTTTAATATTATTATGGGTATTTTAATATTTTTTTTATTTTTTTTAATAATTTAATAATTTTTATTTTTTAAAAGATTAAAAAAGTCCTCAGAGTTTCAATTAAAATCAGTTATGTCTTCAAACTCGACTAAAAAAATCAATTAAATCCCTCTATCACATCATCATTCACATATTGATGATTATATCAACACTATTAACTACTACGTCAACACCTTATCAATAGCGTTTTTTAGTTAAAAAAATAAAATATATAATTAATGACTTCAAAAATAAAATTAGTGCAATTAAATATATAGACAACGTTGCTTATTTAAGTTTACTTCAGGAATAAAACAACCTCTTTTATATAATATTTTTGCACTCATAGGTAAGTGTGATAAAATCTAATATATTATATCTCAATATTATGTATGAAATTCACTTAATGAGACTCGAGAAGAAGATCTATTTATAGGAAAGTTTTATTGTAAGACAATATAATTTAAGGTTAAGGAACGACAGAAAATGAGTTTAATCAAAAATATTATAAAAAGTATAACATTTTCGATTGAGCACAATCTAAGAATATTAATTTTTTTAACATTTTCGGTTGAACAATAAATGTTATAAAGAAGGTAACCAAAAATGTTATTGGAAAAGTGTTGCAATCGAAAAATGTTAAAAAATTAATATTTAAGGTTACGTCCAACAAAAAATATTATATTTCTTATAATATTTTCGGTTGTAGCCCTTCTCTGTCGTTCCTTAACCTTAAGTTAGACTCTCGTTCCTTAGACATTCTCATCTAAAATGTTATGCACACCTGAAATTAACCCTGACCCCAAATTCAAGTAGACTTGTAAAGGGCAATCTAAAAGTAGACTTGTAACAGATGCACCAGGCCATTAGCCTAACCATGGATACATAAAAAAGCAATACAACCACCAAACTTTAATCCCAATGCCATGGAATACTACAAAAAATCTCATATTTTGAGGTGTTGGTGCTCACAAAACCCTAGAGAAGAGAACATGGAATGTGAAAATCTCTTTGATTATTGTATGAATTTCTATAAAAGTGCTTCCAAGATTTAGGCCATTGAATGCAGATCTGTGTGTTTAACTGCTAATACTTTGTAAAACGGGAATCAAAGTTCAAAAAAAAAAAAAAAAGATTCGGTAGGAGCTAGCAATGGCCAAAGAGAGAAAGATACGCATTCAGTGAGTGTATAGGACAACCTACAAATCCATTTCCCAATGAAGAAATTTGTTTTACAATAAAAGGTTGAAGGGGCAGAGGCTGACAAAGCCACCAAGATCTGGTTCTACTTCTTCTCACCTCCTTCAACTTAATTCCAAGTGGAGTAATTAGGGATGAGGATGATACGAAACACATATTTTTAAGTTATTCGAATTCCACTTAATCAAAGCATAGTTATTACTCGATCAGAATGGATTCGGTTCAAAAAAGTATATTTTAATTTTAATTTTTTATATTAATATAATAATAATAATAAAAATAACATTTATATATTATTTTTAAAAAAAATACAATATAAGGTTTTTATGTATTTAAGATTCATATTTGAGTTCGAGCTTCAAGCGAGTTAAGTTTGAGAATGTTTCGAATTTAAGTTTTTTTAAGCTCGAGTCGATCTTCAATATTTTATGTCGAGTTTGAGTTGAACTTACAATTTTAAGTCCATAAGCTTTTGAGTCTAGTCGAGCTCAAGTTTAAACTTTTCAAGTCGAATCATGCTCAATAATACTTGAACTCGACTCGTCTCATTTACCACCCTCGTTTACAACCCTAGGAGCAACTAGTTAACCTTGTTTTCTCATTATTGAATTTCAATCAATATAGACTCATTTCTATATCATCTGGCTAAGAGGGTCTTTTTTGTATGCAAATTGCATATATGAATGATGATCACAGCTAATTAAATTAAGGGAACCCTTCCATATGGTGATTCATCATCATCTTTTGAACAAAAAATTCTCATAAACTTATGTGTGGAACAAACATAAGGCATCCGGGAAAACCCTATCTTGAAACCAATACAATAAGCTATATTATCCACACAAGTGGGACCAAAAAAAATAACCTTTACTAATTATTTTAAAAAATTTAATAAATTAAGCATGATGTATATATTGCTTTATTTACAACCACCACAACACCTACCTTAATCAAATAAATTAGATTCAACACTTTTAGTTAATTTACATAGAAAAACCATGTGACCCTATCCATAAATCACAACTGTTGTGTGGTCCTTCCCTTCCGTTAGGGCTTTGTCTCTATGTCATTTTTTGTCAACCATTGAAGACATAAGAAACCGCCCAAAGCTAAAGACAAAAGGATTCCTCCAACCACACTAAGCACATGACAGCCGGCTTTATGTTTCTGATATGAACACAAGATATTAAAATATTTATCTTTCGGTTTTAGTGTCATCTTTATAGAAAATTAACTGCTCTTTTGCTTAGGGTGAACGACATTTTACTTGTCGACAAACCAAGCATGCATGCTTTTTTGAACCATAAATGTCCAAGTTTCTACCTTCTGCCTTTTGCTTTTATCCCAAAATAATGTTAGAATGTGATAGCGTACTAGATTTCATAAATAAAGGTAGCTTCATATTATACCTATATAGTATTCGATCCAAATTAATCGATTAAAATATCTATTTATAACAAAAAGAAATGCTCAACTACTCTTCTTGGACCAATCATAGCTTACCTTGTATTAACTTATTACTTGCAACCCCTTTATATATAGGATTCCACGTCAGTTAATGTCATGATTTAGACCGTGGTCTGTTCTATCATCATAGTAACTTTTCAAATACACTCTTAACTGGGTTGACCATTTCAGTTTATTGAGATTCATTGAGCAGTGTACAGAAAGATTAACCTATTCTATTATGAGTTTTAACTCTGGTATTCTAACTTGTTTAAAATGTCCCACTGGTCCCTATTCATCTAATTAATTTGCTTGTGTGCTATTATGAAGGGGCAACAAGTCAGTGTCAATAGCTGTAAGGAAGGACCTCCATTAGATACTTTTCT